CCCCCCCCCTCTTCCGCCACCTGGACCTCCGACAACCGCCACCCCACGCAGGGATCGACAACGACACAAAATAAGATAACAGGAAACAACACATTTCGAAATCTCCACTTGTAATGATTGGACATCTACACTTAGACGATAATTTGCAATGAACACAAGCATTGTATGAGGGTATTCACGATATGAACAACAACATTCCATAAATGGACGGCATTAAAGACAACACCTTTATTACACCTTTACATTTCATTCGGGGAGAGGACAACAAAACATATATTGGTGGAGAGAGAGAGAGAGAGAGAGAGAGACCAAAACAGAGAGATAGATGGAGAGAGACACTGTCAAGTAGATAGATAGAAAGGGAGAGAGAAAGAGCAAATCGAAGTCGTCATTTAAAAAAGAGAAGTGCATACTGCACTTCATCAGTGCCAGTATAAATTCAGAAATGACGGAATTATCCGTCCCGACAAACGGCAGTAGCCTACGAGAAACCCCAAAAATAAAACAAAAAAAGAAACAGATGTCAATGTGACAGGAGAAGTCATCCACCCAATCGGACCACCATGCACTTCCCTGGCCAGCACAGCCAATCGGGAACCGTCATGTCCGTGACGGGCAGCGACGGCTACATCGATGTCGGAAAGGCTCTCACTTTCGCGTCGTCTGGATGATGGAAGCCACAATGCGCACAAGAGAGGCGGCACGAACTCTAACGCTCGCGGATGACCTTCGCTATCTCCAGCAGAGCATGACACATCAGTTTGCTGTCGTCATACGCTGCGTAGTGCTTTTTCTGCACTTCGACCTCGGCTTCAAACGCCTCGCACTGCCTGATTTGGATAGAACATTGCCGCTTGTTGTTGCTCTCCATCGTCGACGCCACTAGAGCCCCGTGCTTCTCCATGCATTCCGTCAGCGCTTTGAACGTTTGCTGCTTCGTGCTCTTCCTCTTGCCGAAACCGGCAGGGCTTCCCTTCGTTTGAGAAGAACATCTCATCGATCCGTCCTCGTCGTCGTCGTGCCCTGCACCACCATCCCCATCGCCCACAGATTCAGGATCCGCAGAAGTGGCGGACGGCAAGGCACGCCACCCGGAGCACCAGTGTCGGCGACGTTCTTCGGGTTTATGGTGTGGCTCCTGGCGGTGGACCCCAGTATCTCGTCGTCAACCGCATGATCCATGCTGAAATTGAATTCTCGACAACCACTCTTTTCTAGAGAATTGGAAGAAGTCTTGTTTCCCAGACAAGCCTTGGAAGTGATGCACCTTTTTGAACTGCTGCATCAAATTGTCCCACTTCTTCCCGCACCGTTCTGCTTCTGTGTCGACGCCCACCTTCTTCAACCTCTGTGCCACATCCAACCACTTTCATTCTCGCGGCTTCATACGAGCGTACGTGGTACCCATCCCCTACAGATGCTCGTCCTCGTCACGTTTAGCCCAGATGAGGGCTATCATGTCGTCGACGGACCAGAAGTGACGACCTCCTTCCACATCAGCATCAACTTTGGCATCGCTCCCCTTCCCCGCCGCTTTTTTCCCCCGACGACCATTGTGAGCACAAACCCTCGTCTTCCTGCCCCTCCCTCCCCCCCATGCTGCTTTGCTTGAATGGCGATACGTAGCCTGCACCGTCCTCCCCACCTTCTCCGTCGTCGTCGTTCCACTCGTGATCGTCCGCGCCCACCTCAGGTGCGTCGCGGACGGTTTTCCTCCTCCCTCACACACAATCGCTGCACCCCCTGAGTTACGGATTCCTCCCGCCGTGGATGAAGTGTTCGTCGATGTTCTTCCCACACCTCCCTCCCATCGCGTGCATCACCAAAATCGGCGATGCCACAATCCGTCTCCCCGCATTCGCCTCGGCGGCTGGCGGCAGTCGAATTGGCGGACATGGGAGACAGAGACTGCATCCATAGGGGGCGAGCCGAGGCACCCCTCGACACAGATGGCGACCGGTATTGCTGCTTTGGAGGATCCCCATTGTTCTCGGACGCATCCCGGACCGGCGTTGGAGACCTCAATGATCGCGCAACAGCCGTCACTTGCCCACCGTCGTCGTCGGGATGGTTGTTGACGATGACTGTTCGGGAGGCGGCCGACGACCTCCCGCTACACAGCCCGAACGACAGATTCAAGCCGCCATCGCCTTCGTCGCCACTCAGCCCCTGCCGGAGGAGTTCGGTGTACGACTGCCCATTCAAGTTACCGTTGTCGCGGCTTCCACAGAGCTCTTTAGCCGCCCACTCCTCGGTGGACCTGCTTCCCAGCGACACGGTCTGTGACCGTCTGTCCTCCGCCTCCTCGTCGGACGTGTCCGACAGAGGTTGCAAGTGCGGTGGCAGGTGCACGTACCCAGACCGCTCCGACGACCTTGAACTTCTCGACGGGCTCTGCCCAACCCATTGGCCACCACCTTGATTCCCTGCAAACCTACACATCCCCTGGCGCCCCTCCATACCGACGCCCTTCTTCGAAGACCGTCTTATGTGGCCATGTCGTGGAACGATGTCGAGGATGCACACGTGGAAGACAACTAAGAGGAGGAGCAGGAGGACGACCAGCACCAGCAGCGGCAGCCTCCGAAAGACGTCGGCCATGAAACGCACGTGGACGGCATCAACAACTAAAAGACAACCACGGACGTCCAGGAAACGGCGAGGGTCAGTGGTGCAAACGACCGATCGCAGCTATCGACAAAAGCAAGGTAACATATTTCGTCGCAGAAGACACTGCGCAATCGGGAGAGCGGGGGCCGGCTGAAGTATTTGAATCTGCCGACCGTTGGGCGCTTTCCCACTCGTGTCGAAAGGCAGCGACGCAAGGCAGCCCCTTTTCGACGTCGCAGAGGACGGAAGGCCGCCAAAGGGGACCGTTGGCGGACTCGGAGTATTCCATGATACCGACCGTTGCCAATTGTCTGTCCATGGGCCGCCAGGAACAGCAATGGACCAGCCGTGTCGAAATTTGTCGTCGAGAGAGCTGCCATCGACACCCCGATTCTTCCGGATGCTCGACCTCCAAAGGACCTCAGGAGGACCCTTCGAGAACGCTTCCAAATGGTTGTAGCCCGAGGAATCCCCGAGGAATCCCCGAGGAAATGTTTTCACAATTTTTTTTTCATTTTCTTCCCCAAGGATAAGTGGAACCATGATTTCCTCGGGGATTTTACACACCCGAGGAGTGTCGAATGAGCCCTGTAATCAAGGGTTGACTGAGATCTTGATCAAACACCTTGGTTGCCCTGACGCGCAGCCCCCTAGCCAGGGCCCCGGGGTCTTCACTATTAGCAAACTGTTGGTGCAGCAGTACAAAAAATAATGGTCAGCATCATCATCATCATCATCAGCTGGGTGTGTTGAGATCTTGATCATCGACCCAGATTGGCCTGTATTCCAGGAGTCTTAAGCTCCAGAGCAAGCTGCCACGTGGCACAACAGATGGCCACGTGCGCAGGCAGTAGCAGCGGCCACTATGGGGGGAGGGGGGAGGGGGAGCAATCCCAGCCCGACCGCTGCTCGCCGCTCGCCGGCGGAGGGGGGGGGGGTAAATAGCTGGCACAACACTTCTTCAATACCAGTGTGCGGCACTACAAAGCCATACACACATTGCGGTCAGTGTGTTATGGCAGCAGCTACGCACGCGCATGGCCAGCAGCTGCCTAGGTTAAAACCCTGGCAGTAGCATGCATCCTGGATCTTGATATAACTAATCTCGGAGCCGGGCGGGGCGGGGCAGCGGGGCAGCGTGGGCACGTGGCGCATGCTTGTGTGTGTGCAGCGGCCTGACTTCTTCCCTGTTGTACCTTTTGTCACGTTTTCCCGATGTTTTTCTCTGGAAACACCCAAAAAACAGCCAAAAAAAACGTTATCGGGTTTTGCAGTATTTCCTGCTATGTGGTGTGGTGGGTGGGAGCAGGGAACGTTCCCGCTCTGATACCAGACTATTACCAGTGTGGCGGACCCGCCAGGTGAGGTGCTCCCCCTGGGATAGAGATGGGGATGGAGGATGAGGATGGAGCGAGATGGCACAACACAGCTCCCACAGCCTCCAAGGGCACGCTGACTCCAACGCAGTACTTCAAACTGTGCGAATGTTGAATGCATCCAAGTACAGACTCTGGCTGGGGCATACCCCAGCGAATTCAATTTGACTGGACTGGACTGGACGGGATGGTACTGACAGAGGTGTCGACCTGGACTGGCCTACCTCGAATACAACACAGGCCTGTAGGAACAGGCCAAGGGGCTGGTCCCACAAGCCAACTAGAGGTCCGGTACAATCTGTGAGAAGTCCTTGTTCAGATTAAGGTCTCTTTTCCCTTCCCCTTGAAAGCAGAATAGGGGAGAGACCTTCGGAGTAAGGTCAGTTGCGTTCTGTTCTGGGATATCATTCCTTTCCTTCAAGGGAGGGGGGGTTGGATCATTAATCACAAATAAACTGCTAATGGTCAAATCCCGGACAACTTCTAGAGAGAAAGGTGGTGAAGAGGACGTGCCCTGTTAGAGGGTATTTTTCCCCTCACCTTCGTTGTTATAATTTGTTTGGGGTTCCGCACCTTATATTTCCTCTGTGTTGTCTCTTCTCTCTCTGTCTTTTGTTTGGATTCATTCTCCTTTCCACACGTTTCCTCTTGGACACTTAGCACCCCCTAAACTACATCGACGCCCACCATCTCCTAATCTCCCTGTGAATTAACGAGTTTCCTTCATCCTGTGTGGGGTCTCCAACCCCTCCTTGTCCTTCGAGAATGTCCCACCAACGCCATCCATCTTCTCTCCTCCTCCTACCTCGGTGTGTGTGCCCTTTCCCTTGTTACCGTCCGACGACGGGATTTCCCCCCCGCCTTCCCCAATGATGTTATTTCGGTCTCCTACCTGCTTCCCTTGTTTTGGATTCCCTCCTTTGGTCAGATGGTCTGCGTCCATTTAATCGTGATAGTGGACTCTGCATTTTTTACACCAAGGGGCCGAGGCATATACTATGTTTTTGTCTACATAACCCTTAGTGTCTAGGTTCACTACCAACCACCATTTGAACCGTATTTTGGCAATTGGTTCAAGATCGAACCTTATATTCTGCAGGACTGGTGAAAGGGGGTCTGAGTATGCCGGGTAGTCCTTAAGTACTGCACCAAAGGCCAGCCTGATCGCTGCTGCAACATGAAGGACCGCCCCGACAGGAACATGCCGACATCTAATCCAAAAAAAACTTATAGGTCATTGCCTAACGCTATTCAGCCTATTCATACAATTCTAACTCTGACATCAATGGGTGGAAGTTGTCTACATGCGTTTTCCCATCCATTTCCACCTTGGATTGTTTTTTGACCAACATTCATGCTGCAATTTCTTTGGAGGAAGCAACATACGTTACTAGGTTTCGTCCTTCATTGTGCATTAGCCCTCTTTTTAGAGGGGCATCAATTTCTCATCCATTAGTCCACCTTTCCTCGTAAATTCGCACTAACCGACTTTTGACCTGACCTGACAAGGAAGAACATCTGGGTGGTCCGGCGCCGGACCCCCCGGAGCCAAAAATTTGGACCGGATATCGGCCCAAAAACTCAATTTCAATTTCGTTCAAAAAATATAATATGTCCATTTTGACAAAATGGTCGTTCAAAGAAGATGGATACCGCATGCTCACGAAGCCATTCTTCACGGATTCGATAAATATCCTTATCCACTGTGACTCGAACAAAGTCCTCACCTCGCTCCACTGATCCTGTCGCGAGGTTAACTGGGACGATTCCATCGAAATAACACTTTTCAATTATATTTCGAATACATTCTTTCTCCAATTGAAATTTCGGTTGTGCCGATACAACAGAGCCCAGGTTTGACATAGACGCCGCCATCGTGGCAGTTAAATAACAAGTCCAAGCAAATTAATGGCTTACCATGCACGTGCAAAATTCACATATAGAACACAAAAAACCTTGATCCAAACAAACAGTTCTTACTAGCGTCTAAATAGAGAAAATACTCTTATAGATAAACTGAATATTAACAAGTATATCATAAACAAGTCGGATATAGTCTAGGTACATTGGATAAGTCTGCCTACAAGGTCATCCCTATGAGTTGCGGATAACACCTTAGAGGATTCTTGTATTCACTAAGTCCTTGTTGGATATGGTAATGTCGATGGAAGTATCTCTCTCGTCACGTATAGGGCTTTCAAGTTGTCGCGGTAATGGAGCCGACTAGGAAGCTGCGACCTATTAACATAGGTCTATTTTCCTTTCGTTCGCCCTTCTGCCAGTCTGACCAGGAAATGTCAGGAGAGTACCACCTCTGCTTATCGTTCCTAATCTCAAAGTTTATCACATGATCTAAGTTCTGGTTCTCGAGTGAAAGAGCGCACGACGTCTGCAATGCAACTACCAAGTCTACTTCAAACACTGAGCGAGGTTTGATGCTGCACCTCTCGGTTGCCGATCATCGTATTTGCCTTCAGTTTCGTATGTTCTTCGAGGTTTTTTTTTTTTTTTTTTTTAACTCCGATCTATTCGTGGGGAGCCTGCGGGCGACCAGGTGACATTCCAGAAGGTGTGTCGTCATCAGTTACGCCGCTTCTCCTCAATTATCCTACTGTCCTGACGGTGTGTCCAATCGGGGTTGTCGGACTAGACACATCCCGCATGCATACACCATGAAACTCTCCTCCAACAAGGTGAAAAATTTTAGCTGAAAACCTTCGCCGCATTCCCGAAAACGTTGAAGACGATGAGTGTAGCTCAGGGGACCCTAGCTGCAAGAGCGCTAATTCTTGCCCTAATCTGCCATTAGCATTGGGCGCCACCAATGCGGCGCTTAGCGCAACCAAAATTAGCACTTGGTTAGCGGCGTTTACCCTTTCTCCAGCAAAAAAGTTTCAGAAGTGGACAAGACAACAATATACCACTAGTACCTACCGGTTGTTGAGGCCCGACCCTCATTTATGCCTGCGCGCCAAGGGTTTTCGAACCTGGAGGGGGCGGGAACGAATTTGGGATGTATTGTGGAGTGACACCGGTACTGCCATTGTTTTCACTCGTGCAGCAACTCAGGCGTGGCCACAACCGCAGTCGAAGACATTATGGAGAGAGCAGTCCTTCGGGAAAAACAAAAAAGGAAAGACCACGTCCGTACAAAACCGTGAAACGACAACTTTCAGTCACATACTTCCCGTCTTTCATGGGGAGCTGCCGTCAGAAACGCTCCGGACAGTTTGTAAAAAAAAAAAAAAAAAAAAAAAACGGGCGTTGATTCACTACTTTCGAAATGTGCAAAATAATACTGGATAGTGCAGTAGAACATGAACAAATACATTGGCATATATCTCTCTTTGGTGCAAGTGGAGTGTCCGACTTTCTTTCGCGAGAAAAGATTAACAACAGTTGTGTTTTTCATCACCACTTTATGACACCCTTCACTACTTCAGGATGCAGCCTGCCTAAACTGGTGGTTTTCAGGATCTTCGGACCTTTCACCACTTCAGGACAATTCAGGTCTGAAAATCCGGAATAGTCATGAAGTGGTGAAAGCTCCGTAGACCCTGAAAACCACCTGTTTAGGCAGGTTGCGTCCTCAAGTGGTGAAGGGTGG